GTTGAGTACATTTTTTTCAGGATTCTTTGATGAATAGAAAGATCCAAAGATCAGCATTTATCTGAAATAAAAAGCTTCTGTAACATTATACACTATACCATTCAAAAGCTCTTTTTAAAATTTATATTATAGAAATTATTACTTTCATTTAGCAAGGATGTTTTAAATTGATCAAAAGTGATGATAAAGACATTTTTTTCAGATAAATGCTGTTCTTCTGAACTCTCTTCATCAAAGAAACCTGAAAAAAATCTACTCCGCTGTTTTTAACTTCATAATAATAAATGTTTTTTGAGCAGCAAATCAGAATATTAGAATGATTTCTGAAGGATCATGTGGCTGGAATAATGATGCTAAAGCTCTGCTTTGAAATCACAGGAATAAATTATATTTTCAAATAGAAAACAGTTATTTTAAATAGTAAAAATATTTCAAAATGTTACTGTTTTTGCTGTATTTAGGATCAAATAAATGCAGGCTTGGTGAGCAGAAGAGAATTCTTTAAAAAACATTAAAAATATTACTGTTCAAAAACTTTTGACTGGCATGTTAGCCTATAGTTTGAAGTAAAAAATATTAACATTAATAAGGAGAGTCTGAGATTTATTTGACAGTGATTTCACATTTCTTGTTTGTATGAAGGCTAAATACCAATAAAAGGTGAACATTTTTTTATTTGCGCCATTTTTTTCCAAAAATATTATATAGTTTTATAGGAGTAGGTTTCATAGAGTTGGCAAATTAATTTTTCATAACTTTGTAGGTACAGACATCTGTTGTGGCCGTTCTTGGACGTTTTTATGAGGCTTTTTTAATAGTGTTCATATCGATATCGGAATTATATCATATCGACCGAAGTTAAGAAATATATCGTGATATAATTTTTGGCCATATCGTCCAGCCCTACCTTAGTAAGTGTAAAAAAGTATAAAAGCAACTTGTAATGGCCTTTAATATTTAAAAGAACCATATCTTCTACGGGCCATCACCCACCAAAACACTATAAATTCAGCAATCCATGCTGACAATATTTGACTTGCAAATATTGATATAGTTTTATATCTCACCAGCATTCTTTCCTTAAAAGTCAACATTGACATTGAAATAAAACAGACTGTGAAAAAAGTGTCTTTGAAAATCTTGACCAAAACTAAAATATTGGTCTACAAAGCTGTAATGCTCTCAGTCCATATGCTCCCAGTGGTCTAGTCAGGATACTCTGCAGGTCTTGTGGAAACAATGTTAATGTGTCTCTTAGCCCCAGACGCACTATATAGTTTCCTCTCCAAGGGATACAGTCATTTAATGCATGTCTTTGTGTTACAGTACTCTAGATATGGATGTTATATTAGGTGTGTGTATTGTAGGAGCTAGATGACGTAGGATGACGTGTAACGGTATAGTAGTGGTGTCCCAATTCTTAGGGAAATATTTTCACCCCTACCCCTTGACACTCTGTTTCAAGGGACAAGGGGAAGGGGTAGGCATAGGGGTAGCTGAAGGGGTATAAAATAGAATTGGGATTAGTGTTCCTCTCAGAGGACAAACTGCAGTGTATTCATGATGCCTTGTTTGATGATCTGAATCTTTTAAGTGTGACAGATATGCAAACAATTAAAAAAACAGGAAGGGGGCAAAAGCTTTTTCACACCACTGTACATTTTATCTCAGATGTCTCAAGCCCAGCGCTCTTTCACCTTCCCCATATCTTCTTTTTCCTTATCACTTCATCCCTTTATGGAATCCTGCCTTATACACCAACTCTACTTAATATTATATGGTTATATCCAGTAGACATTATCGAGTGCACTCATTCAGTCCCACAATGCATCTCAATAAAGAGTATATAAAAAATGTACACTCAACGGCTAGCCACAAGGAAATACCCATGCACTGTCTCTCGTCAAAAGATTCCATCGACAGCACATCCGGTGCACTCTGCGTCTGAAATCGCTCACTCATTTTCATTGACTTGAGTGCAGCATTTGACAGTGTGTGTCACTCTATTCTACTTGATAGACTGGAGAGTTGGCTTGATATCTCTGGTACTGTGAGATGGTTCGAAACCTACCTTACTGATTGTTCCCAGTTTGTTGTCCTGGAAAACAGATCTGCCATAGTGTTCCTCTGGGATCTGTCTTGTGCCATATTTTCATTTAAATATGGTTTAGGGCAGGGGTGCCCAAACTCGGTCCTGGAGGGCCGGTGTCCTGAGTTTAGCTCCAACCCCAATTAAACACACCTGAACCAGCTAATCAAGCTCTTACATGCATACTAGAAACTTACCAACAGGTGTGTTGAGGCAAGTTGGAGCTAAACTCTGCAGGACACTGGCCCTCCAGGACCGAGTTTGGGCATCCCCGGTTTAGGGTATCACTTTTATGCTGATGATTTACATCAGGCTGTGGAATGCACTTCCTTTTAGTGCTAGAAATGCTCCCACATTAGGCACTTTTAAGAAACTGTTAAAAACACATTTTTTAAAAATAAATATAGATAAATAGATAATTTGTTAAATTATTATAGAAAGATAGATAATTAAGTTAAATTGATTAGCTTTTCAGTAGGGTGTTGACTTATTTATAGTTTGTTTTTACTGTATTGTACTCTGTTATTATGTTACTCACCTACTGTATGCATTCTACAAAACCTTCAATAAAGTCCTTGTAATTGGTTCACACTTATCTGTGTCTGCTGCCTTACTTGACAGTAATGCATTTTCCGTCACATCCATTAACTCTCCAAAACGCTCATCCTATATGTAGAGTCGCAGATAATGAATGCTATATCATTAATTCTGAATTACATAGCTCTCCTCAGACTATTTAAATCAACACACTAATTTCAGATCTCTCAGTTTCTGAGCATATTTGAATACACAGACAACCCTTCTTAGTTTCCCTTGCACTCCTGTATTCACCACACCGCTATCACTTTAGCCTGAGGCACTGAATGCTTCAGTGACTCTTTCTGGGTTTAGCGTGTGCTGATGTGATCTCATAAATGTAGGCTGTTTATATTATACTCAGTGAGCAGGAAAAGTAAACAAAGCTATGATCCAGTAGCTGACCTAGAGCAATATTCTGTTACATTTGTCAATGTTTTTGAGTCTAGAATCTGTTTGATTATAGTGCTTTTATCCTTTTCTGCTGATATATTTTAATATGTCCCAGAATTCAGTGAATATTGAAGTACAAAAAGACTACTGTGTAAATCTGAAGCATGTTGTGTGTGTCTCAGTTTGGTCTACTAAACATACAGTACTGAAGCATGTGTGACGCTCATCTGTCATCTCACTATATAAGGACATGAACACATGAACTTCATCTCCAGAGTTGCTTTGAAAGTCACTTCACCAGTGACTCTCATTTTCACTGGAAAAAAATATTGTCAGATATAAAATACAAAAACTCAAAGACACGAGTGGCCAGTCCTTCTCCTGGAGGGCCACCTTCCTGCAGATATTAACTCCAACACACTCGCCTGGAAGTTTCTGGTAATCCTGAAGATCAGTGCATCACTACTTATGTTGCATGAGTGCTTTACTATTGGTGGAACCCATTCAATGGCCATGTTGCTATGATTTTGGGAAACAGTCTTGAGTAGATTAATTTCTCCAGCAGTGCATCATCACAGTGGTTTAAGCAGTGAGTTACGGCATTGTACAGGATACACTCCTCAGCTCAGTACTGCAGTGCTCATAGTGCTTGAGCATTTGGTTTCCTGTACAGCTTAAAACAGACTAAAACAGACTATATGATGTTTAAGGATTACTGCAAGAACAAACTAAATCAATTCATCGGAATCTCTTCAACTTAGGGCACTTTTTTATGCCCCAGTGGTAGATTTTTATTAGAAGTAACAGATGTAACCTTTTTGCTATATAAAGAGTACATTAAAATGACTTGGAAACTTTTTACAGTGTTTTCATCATTAATTTTTCTCTATTATACTTTTATTTTCCAAAATCAGAAAACTTTCAGTCTTAAACTATGGAAATCTATCATATTATTAATTATTGTATTTTTAAAACGATGATGATCTATGGCTTTTCCTTTCAAATGTGGTGTCATTGCCACCATAAAGTTTTGCCCATGTTTTTTTTTTTTAAGCTAGTGTACTTGTTTACCAAAAAGACAAGTGTCAGTGAGACATTATGAGACTTGAGAAAATAAAGAAAATTCTAGTAATTTTGACTTTATGTATGTATGTGTGTGTATATATATATATATATATATATATATACACCGTATATGTATATAAATATATACAGTATATATATGTGTGTATAAACTAATATATATATATATAATATTGCTTGCAAATTATGCAAGTGGGATATTAGCCTAGACAGAAGCAGTTGCCTTTTTGTTCCAAAAATTCCATGGCCATCGTTTCTATTACATGCAAGTGTGGAAATGGTATTTTAGGCAAATGTACCTAAAGTCCACAGGGCCAAAAGTGCCAATAATTGAAGGAAGATTCACATGTTATATTAATCTCTCTCACTCTTATCTGTCACATCCTATTGGTTAACCCTTCTCATGCACCAATGATGCTGAATTGTGCACTAGACTAGTGTCTAATTTCTCTCTGTTTCCCCATGCCCTCATCCCTCTTTCTTTCCAGGATGATAACTGGGGTGAGACTACGACAGCTGTCACTGGCACCTCAGAACACTCTCTATCTCAGGAGGACATTGTTCGCATCAGCAAAGACCTCGACGACAGCGTGGGCCTGGACTGCAAACGTTATCTAAATGTGGCTCTGTCTGTCATCCTGGGACTCGTGGTTCTTCTGACTCCGCTTGCCTTCCTTATCCTGCCTCACCTCCTCTGGCCTGATAGACTGAGAACCTGTGGAACGGCCTGTGAAGGTCTCTTTATATCTGTGGCATTTAAACTGCTAATTTTGTTGTTGGCAGTGTGGGCTCTATTCTTCAGGCCACCTAGAGCTGGTTTGCCAAGAATCTTCGTCTTTCGAGCCTTATTAGCCACATTGGTGCTACTGTTTGTGCTTTCCTATTGGTTGTTTTATGGAGTACGCATCCTGGACTCACAGGTGAGGCTAAAGTGTGCCTACTTCTTCCAAAAATTAAAATTATCTAATCATATATACATATATAAAATCATCCTTTCAACAAAAAGTAAGATATTTTGAAAAATGTTTTAATTCAGCTGTTTTGTCCATACAAAGTCAGTGGGGTCCAAAACTAAATTTTATGGACAAAAAAACTTTTTAAAAACATATTTTCCCCCTTATTTATTTCACATGCCTAGAGGTTTGGAATAATGTGGGCGTGAGTAAATGATGACAGAATTTTCATTTTTAGGTAAACTGTTCAGTCTAAAACTGAAGTGTACACTGAAGTGGGCAGTTTAAAACTGTATGAAAAGTGGCAGTTGTTTGTGTAGCCCACACTAAATACAGACTAACCCTAACACTAACATTGGAGCCATATTTGTGACTTATATACACTCCATATTTGTGGAGTGTGATTTGTGACAATAATGAGGATTAAACTTAAATCTAGATTAATCTAGATTTATCTAACAATGATGTTGCACCAAACTTAAAAGTTTATTTAAAATAAGGCATACTTACATTTAAACTATCATTTTGATCCTGGATTTGATTAGCATTTTAGATATATTATCTTTAATCCTGTTGCTCTATTACTTTAAACTTTGATTTAAATCTCAGTTAGGAATGAACTTTACATTTGAGGAGATGAGGAGGTTTAACTAATAATAAAATCACCTACAATTAAAAATATGTGACTGACTGAAAAAAGACAAGCAGTGTAACTGCTTTTACATGTAAAAACCGAAGTGGACTGTGGGCTGAACTTCACCAACACTAAAAAAAATTAAGCTCACTAGCATGACCCATTCTTGCCAATCTCTAGTAACATCTTCTCTGTGTGAGTACTAGTCCTAATCTCCTGTACTTTGTAACTTTAAAATATCAGCATGTCACATATCACAGAGAAACATTTCCAGTCATTTTATGTACCGGCTAATTCTCACATTGCCCTACTATATGTAACAGGCACTGACACTCTCTCTGTCTGTTCCAGGATGAGGACTACCAAGGGATTGTGCAGTATGCTGTTTCACTAGTGGACGCTCTGCTCTTTATCCACTACCTGGCCATTGTGCTGCTGGAGCTCAGGCAGTTACAGCCGTTCTTCTCTCTGTGTGTCACACGCTCCACGGATGGAGCAACACAACACTATAACTTGGGTCAACTCAGGTTAGAACATTGTCAACAAACTGCTAGATTTATGTAGTTAATTCCTTTTTAATACTCATCTAAAATTATTTGTTTTTTAGAATATATATATATATTTATCTTTTGTAATTTGTATAATATATATAGGACTACTGTAAATGTAAGTATTTACAAAAATGTACATTTTGTACATTCAGCTTTCCTCACATGATCAAAGTGTTTCAGTAAGTCCTTTATACTCAGACATGGCCACATTTTACTTTGTAAAATCAGACATGAGAACTGTTTTGAGAAAGCCCATGAAAGAGACAATGAGCATGGAGAGCTCAGCTGCTGTGTGAGTGTTTGGAGTATCGTATACATGATGTCATTCAGTGTGCACTTTGTTGCATGTCCAGTCCTCATATTGCAATGAGAGTCATTCTTACAGTTTGGTGGACCTTAGATTGAGGAGGTTTGTAGAAAAAAAATATATATAAATTCAATTATTGTTAGTGTTATCATAGGGATAAACTATCTGTCCATCAGAAAAACTAGCTCAGGCTAATATTTCAAATTCAAGATGTTTATTTGTCACATACGCTAGTATACAAGCTAGTATGACCTTTACATGACATTTTTATAATGCAGTGTGTAACAGGATGGACATTTTAAGATAATGAATCCTACTACTAGTTGCCAGCAGATTAACATTTAGAAAGATATTTAAAGGGATAGTTCACCCAAAAATGAAAATTTGATGTTTATCTGCTTAACCCCAGGGCATCCAAGATGTAGGTGACTTTGTTTCTTCAGTAGAACACAAATGAACTACGCCAGAGCGCGTACACACCTCACGCACCGGATGCCGTGCGCGCGCCCAAAGACAGTTGGACATAGTGGTGTATTAGAGGTAAATAATTATATAAATACTGTTCGGTTTTTGGCACAAACCGATCGTTTCGTGTCTTAGGACATCAATGTGTCGTCACGAGCCACAGGGTTTAATTAGGATTTGTCTGTGCATGTTTTTTTTTACTCTCATAGATTTTGTTACCATTGCCATGCATTATGAAACTGATAGACTCCAGGATTTGTCTGTGCATGTTTTTTTTTACTCTCATAGATTTTGTTACCATTGCCATGCATTATGAAACTGATAGACTCCAACGGTTAAAGTTAAAAATCATCATATGTGTTCTACTGAAGAAACAAAGTCACCTACATCTTGGATGCCCTGGGGGTAAGCAGATAAACATCAAATTTTCATTTTTGGGTGAACTATCCCTTTAAAAGTGCAATAGATTGATACAATATTTTTAGTTGTTCTCTGATATCTACATAGACTGTATGTGGCTTAGGTAAAAGCAAAAAAACTCCAGAAACGGTTTTACATGTCCATTTACAACCCTAGGATTTGTCCCTAGAGTGAAATGGTCTGTTTTTACCTTATTTGGAATTGTCATAATAATAATGTTGAGCTCTGCTCTGATTGGCTGTTTTACAGTGCGGCTCAATGTTGAGCTCTGCTCTGATTGGCTGTTTCACAGTGCGGCTCATTTCAGTAGCTCACACAGCAGGAAACACAGGGAAAATATATATTTCAATATTGTCTCTTAGTGTTGTTTTTGGCAGCCTGTTTTAATTTTAGTTTTAGTCTAGTCTTTGTGTGAAGCTGTCATTTTAGTTTTTATTAGTTTTAGTCACGTTCATACTCTTTTTAGTCTAGTCAAGTTTCAGTCAACTAAAAGTCTGAGCATTTTAGTCTTATTTTAGTCAGAATTATCCATGACTATTTTTGTCTAGTTTTAGTCGACGAAAACTGATGACATTTAGTCTAGTTTTAGTCAATGAAAATTGTATTTTAATCTCTTTTTAGTAATGCAGTTCTATTTAACCCAGTCAATATAGTATAAACCAAAATTTTCTTTTAGCCAAACCCATTTCAAACAAGGTTATCTTATTATATTATTGTTACCTTATAGACTCAAGAATACATCCATTCCAGACACGGAAGACGCTCTGCTTTGAATTTACAACATTTATTTTACCAACCAAACATGTTAGAAGTACACACACATACATTTAAATAAAATAAATAAAAACAATAAATAAAATAAAATAGCATCACATGACAATGCCAGAAAAAAATTAATATTCAAGTTTAACAAAGAGAAACAAGGTGCTTGAATGCTCGAGCTACAATAACATACTAAAAAGTGCAAATAAAATGTGTGTGTCTGTTACTTGTATTGCTTGTAAACTGAAGTCAGATTTTGCATAATAAAAACTTAAAAGATATAACACTACAAATGGTTTGAACCTTAGAGAGATATAATGGGATGGGATGGGAAGCACTGGCTGCATACAGTGGAATTCGCTGACAGAAAAGCACAAACAATACTGAATTATGTCAACTACTGAACCAAATAACCAGCAGTCTCAACAGCAACAACATAAACACGGCCATCGGTCCTTTCGCACCGCTTTAGTTCCAGAACTAAATGTACAGTACTAAAGTACTGGGACGATTTTG